TTTTTTTTCAAAAACCCTGGCACTCCGAGGGTTGATATAACCTCTGCTGTTGCGGTACAGTTAGTGAAGACTACCAGGCTCTGTGCACTACTCATTATGCGCCCTCTAACGGTCGCCACCTTTTTTTCGATTTTTATAAATTTCCAATAATCCCGCAAATGTATCAGTCCAACCTTAGGTGAGACGACGTTGTGTTGTGTTCTCATGTTAATTTTAATACTTTGTACATATAATTTAAAACAAGCTGTAAATTCTAGTCATTCATGTAATACTCTGTGATAACATATGGTTTTAATGTCAAAAATAGCTGGTAAGAACAAAAACAGTTGGACTTGTAATTGTGCGAATTATTAGTGAAGTAATTTATTTAAAAAAACGTTATTATATATATAAATTATTTTTTTCGTTTTATTAATGCGAATAATTACTCATTACTAGATAGATGTCTTTTTCACCATGCATAAATGAATGCTGGCCATGTGCTTCAGAACCTAAACCAAAGCACATTTTCATTAGTTTTTCCGATGAGAATTTTTTCTCTTCTCTCTTGGGAAAGTATGCATTGTTGGTTTGATTGTTGATTGTTAACTTTATATTAATTATGTAGATTTTTTCTTAATAAATAGGCCCTGATGATGGCAACATAATGTTGCCGAAAGCTTGGTGATCCCAACACTTTTGTCTTTCTTTCACCTAGTAAAGACCTTAAAGAAGATATTGAACTCTACATTAAACTCTAAGACTTAAAGAAGAAATCTATTCAGCCAACAAAGAATGTGAATGTACGGATTTGTGCATGCAACTAAAAAATCTAATCAGTCTCAAAAATCCGCCGAACTATTGTCCAAGCTTTTTAATTAGGTTAGGTTTCTATAAGATGTTAAGAAATCTAGTCGCATTGCAACTTCCAAAATTTGTCTATACTTCTGTCCAACTGACGGTTTCCTATTAGCATCAAGCTTTTCTTTGCCTTTCAATCAAAACCTTTTTTAAGGCAATCACAGTTTCTCTTCTAGGCAGAACTGGCACAGCATGTTTTCCAGCCACTTTTCAGCCATTTTAGTGCCATTTCCGATTAGCCGGCCTACAAAAATTGTTGAGTATTGTAAGGTTCAGATAGTTAAGCTTCTACTTGAATTTCTTGATTATGTGACCTGGCCTGAAATGTTGCAAAGTCCCAATGCAACCAGGGCACTCGCGCATTTTATGTGATATTAATTATTATCAATCTTTGTCTTGGAATGTAATTCCATCAACTACGAGGTTTGACATGGATTTGGCGGTTGCTTTTTTTACGGTATTTTATTGTTCGGAAGTGTCCTAGTAATGTTGTTCCTAAAAACTTTTACCAGGCTGGTCTATCAGTTCGTTGTCCTTCTGGACTGTCTTTCCTAACCCTCAAACAAGGTAAAAATTCTATCCCACGCACCGAGGGCACGCAATTTACGCATAACTTTTTTTATAGCCAGCTCCGCCCTTGGAATGTTATTCCACTAGTATTTGTTTTGACATGAAATTAGCAATTCCTTTTTTTATGGCGGTTTATTGTTCAGAAGTATTCTGGTCGTGTTTTCGATGATAAATTTTACATGGTTACTCTATCTGCTTCTCTGATCTTATTCTGTCCCCATGCACCAAAGGCACTCGAGCATTTCAGTTTCGGTCCAGAAATGGTGTTGCATCAGGTGAATTCGGCAACTAATATTTTTTATGCCGGTGTAGAATTGTGCAGAAGAATTGTGATCGTTGTGTTAATAAATACTCTAATCTAGCTAGTCTATAGGCTTTTTTGTTATCGTTTTGTCCTTTCTGTTCTAAGACCAAAGAGTCAATGACAGTTCTGTTCCCGTCGCACTCAAGACACTCACGCAATTTGCGTGATCTCATTTAGTCCCAGTGTCGGGCGTGAAATAACGTTTCACCATTTATGAACTTTAATATTATTTTTTATGTAAATGTAGAATTCTGAAAGCTTAAGTTTCATTTGAAAAATCACGAATAATATTTTATTAAATATTGCAATGTCCATGACCCACAATATGTAGCTAAATTTTTAGCTCTACTGAATGACAAGAATTGGTTTTCTTTATTTTTTAATAAAATATTTAAGAAAATATAAGATAACGTTAGACGGAGACAAATTTCGAAAGATTTACTGACACCTACCCTGAGGGTTCATTGAAATCTTATATAAAAATATGATGATCTATAAATCGCTGATTAAATAATAAACAAAAGTAGAGTATAAAAACCCGTTTGCTCTTATTACACTATTTACCCAGCTATATATTAGTAAGAGCCCTACTAAAGCCGTCGAGTGAGTATAAAACCGTGTCCGTCTTCCTAGTGGCCCAACTTTCATTTAAAAAGTTTGTCAAGAAAGGATGGGAGTCTCTGGCATAGTATTAAACGTATCCTGCGTCATAGCGTTGTCTCAGGTCCTCTCAGGAATGATAATTATACTTGGATCGTTTCCTTTAAAGAAAAGGCCAAAACACAACATCTCTCTGAGGTATTCAAAACTCATAACTTAATCGATGCTGAACATGATAAATTTATATAAGATTCACATATGACACTTACACCTCTAGATCTGCCACCTAAACCAATAACTCCAAAATTAGTATCACAAGAAATAAGTCAGCTTCTTAAAAAAAATTTTTCACGAAATTCACAAAAAAACAGTTGCCTTTCTGACGTTTCTTTAAACGCATAATCATACATTGAAATGATTGCAAAGGCTCATAAAAAATTAAACTCCACACTATCTTATCGTCCTGTTAGTTGGTTACCCGTTTTTTTTAATTATTCGAAAAATTAATTGAATTAATTAATCACCAATTTGGCTTTCTCACCCATCATTTGACCACTTATCGACTTCACAGAGTTACAGATTTCATTAATACTTTCTTAAACAATTTAATCTTTAACGATGAACTGGGTTATCGACCTGCTGGAAACATGAAGTTTTTTTGGAGGATCTACGGAAGAGGTCAACACAGAGAAAAACTTCCTTTCGGTTTTCGCCGAGCTTTCGACAGTTTTTATACTGTCATCTTCAGGGCCTGTTTCATTATCATATAAAAAATAACAATTAAAAACATGAAAAAACAAATTGCACAAAAATTGAAATATCTTACTTAAACCTTAATGGGGAAATGAAACGACATGGTGTTTTGGGCACAGAAGTACATTACGTTTTTTTGGTGCTCAGCATCTAAACATTATTTAAATTGAATAAATTAATAATGAAAAATTACCACTATAAGTACAATAAAAATTAAAAAACGTGGTCGAGAAAAGGTTATCTCATAAAAGTCTAAAAAACTAGTAAAAACCTACTTTTTTTGTTTTCAGGTACATGCGATCACAGTGTGTTTCTTATATATACAACAATATTGTATTATATACAATACAATGTTGTATATATACAACTAACTTATCTTACATTTAAATTACTTTACATTAAGATCACAGATCAAAAAACAAAAAAACAACAAACCGTCTGCGACGAGCCTTTGTTCCTATCGACGAGTTTTTTTAGTTTTTTAGACTTTTATGAGGTACCTTTTCTCGACCACATTTTTTAATTTTTATTGTACTTATAGTTGTAATTTTTAATTATTAATTTATTCAATTTAAAAAATGTTTAGATGCTGAGCACGAAAAAAACGTAACGTACTTCTGCGCCCAAAACACCATGTCGTTTTATTTCCCCATTAAGGTAAGATATTTCAATTTTTTTGCAATTTGTTTTTTCATGTTTTTAATTGTTGTTTTTTATAATTGATAATAAAACAGGCCCTGAAGATGACAGTATAAAAACTGTCGAAAGCTCGGCGAAAACCGAAAGGAATTTTTTCTCTGTGTTGACCTCTTCCGTAGTTAATGTAATCTTTATTTAAAAATCTCGTAACAAGTTAAAGAAATAAACTAGCTTAGTCTACTCATCTTTTTAAATTAAAAATGAAGCAAGTGGACATAATGTAAGTGTAATTTAGGAAGTGAAGACAACAGATTCTTTAGATGAATAATGACTTTCAGACGAAAAAACATGAATAATTCCAATTAATTAAGGTTTTTAGTTGAGATAAAAAAGTCAGTGTCACGAGCGGGATTCGAACCCACGACTTTCGGGTAGATACGCCTCTGCTCTACCACTTGAGCTATCGTCACTTTGATCCACTCGGACACTAACTTCCCATCTCAACCCCACCTTTTGAATTTTCCCTCCTTTTTGCCATTTTTCAAATGTCGTGTGTATTTGATTCTCGGCGATAAATGAAATGGCCACGGAGAGCTTTAGTGAAGATATATTTCAGTTTAATTATTAAATCCATTACAGTTCGTGGTCTAATTGACCAATTAATATTGTTCAATTAATTAAGGTTTTTAGTTGAGATAAAAATGAAAAATGGCAAATAGGAGGGAAAATTCAAAAAGGTGGGGTTGAGATGGGAAGTTAGTGTCCGAGTCGATCGAAGTCACGATAGCTCAAGTGGTAGAGCAGCGGCGTATCTAGCCGAAGATCGTGGGTTCGAATCCCGCTCGTGATACTGACTTTTTTATCTCAACTATAAACCATAATTAATATAAAGATATTAATTGATCTAGCGTACCACAGAAACTAGTGAACCATGAATAATATATTTTGAAATATTGCAATGGGTTTGTCCGCGACACCCAATATGTAATTAAACTTTGAGCCCTACTTAATAACCAGAATTGCTTTACTTTATTTGTTAATAAGATGTTATTTAAGAAAATATAAGATAACGTTAGACGGAGACAAATTTCGAAAGATTACTGACACGTTCCCTGGGTTTTCATTGAAATATTTTATATAAAAATGTGATGATGATCTATAAATTGCTGATTAAATAATAAACAAAAGTAGAGTATAAAAACCCGTTTGCTCTTATTACACTATTTACCCAGCTATATATTAGTAAGAGCCCTACTAAAGCCGTCGAGTGAGTATAAAACCGTGTCCGTGTTCCTAGTGGCTCTGGCCATTCTCTAGGGGCATTGTCGACGGAAAATCCCCGAAATAATCTCCCGTCGGGTATAAATCGGTAGAATATAACCAGGCCGCAGTGCTTTAACGGAATTGCAGCCTATTCGCCTGACACGGCCCGGCGATGTTTTTAATTGAATTGGCTCGCGCTTGATCACGGTGTACAAGGTTGACGTTTTTAATTCGAACCCCTTTGAACATCAACTGAATAACAATGCCATGTATCCTTCAATAATAACAAGCCCTTCGAGAAAAGAAGCTACAACGCTGATAAGTTCTGCACCTTTTGGAAGTACAAAAATCCACATTATCAACGAGCATTCACAAAAGAAGACATGTGAAAGTAAGGAAACAATAAAAATCACACTCCAATCCATAAACCTCATGTCTTTACAAAAAATACAATAAAACGCAACATAGAAAGCTGAAAAAGAACCTCAACAGTATTATTGTCGGATTACTCAGGACTGATTGGGGTATTTGCATTTTCTTTGAAGACCGATGAGATTTAAACGAAACTATTAACAGATTGTCAAAACAATCTATTCTCGATCAATAACTGTACAATAAAATCATTGGGCAAATTTATAGAAGGTATCATTTAGATTTCATTAAAGGGTTACGATCTGAGGCCGATTGGATGTCGTAAAAGGAATTTGTGAGATGATCGGGTCTTCCAGTGATTGCTGAACAATTTTTGCCCTGGTTGGACGTGCAGTGTCATCAGTTATAAGAATTGGAACTATAAGAATGAAAAAGTGAAAGTAAACAGCTGGTGGCTATCGAGACTCGTTGTAGTACAAAACGGCTTGCAATTTGTTTTTTTCTTTAAGTTTCTGGCCATTTATGGCTTTAGAACTTTGGAATTAATATAAGTGAGGATTGTGCTTTTAAACTCTCTGTATATTCTGAGGATCCTAGTTCAAAAGTAGGGGAAAAACAGCAAGAAACGGATTGTGAGGTTAGCACTTTAAATGAACACGATCTAACAGTTGAATATCGCAAAGTTTATAGGAGAAAGCGACCTGATCCACAAATCGCTAACAAAGACCCGAGGAAATAGGCGCGTAACGAAACTGCTGTGAGTATTCCAATTCAATACAAGAAATCAATTTCAAATATTTTCTAGCACTGAAACGTCAAATAAAAATAATACTGAAACAAAATATACAAAACTTCACCGATTAATATTAAAAACATATTACAATTGCTTAAGGTTCTTAGTGGAGATAAAAAAGTCATTGGCACGAGCGGGATTCGAACCCACGATCATCGCCTAGATACGCCGCTGCTCTACTACTTGAGCTATTGTGACCTCGATCCACTAGGACACTAACTTCTCATCTCCACTCCATCTTTTGAATTTTTCCCTCCTTTTTGCCATTTTTTAAATGTCGTGTAATCTAATTGATTCTCGGCGACAATCTGATGAACTTCAAATCTGTTTATAATTTCAATTAATTAACGTTTTGGTTGAGATAAAAAAGTCAGTGTCACAAGCGGGATTCGAACCCAGGACCTTCGGCTTGATACGCCGCTACTCTACCACCTGAGTTCCACTCGGACACCAACTTCCCCACCTTTGGAATTTTCCCTCCTTTTTGCCATTTTTCGTGGTTTCGAATCCCGCTCGTGCCATTGACTTTTTTCCCTCAACCAAAACCCTTAATTAATTGTAATATATTAATTGGTCAAGCGGACCACGAAATTAGGGAATTAAAAACACAGTTACTTTCACTACAAAAATTTCGGGAAACTAGGAAGCGACAATTCTTTCATTATAAAAAACACTAAAAACTCTCTAAAACTACTTGCAAACAAACCAAAACAGAAAATTTATACAATTTTTCGGAAAAATCTCAAACTGAATTTCACACATATCAACTGCATGAAGAAAAAATTTCAGAATTTTATTAAAAGACCTTTAACTTCTTTACTCTTACAGGATTAATAATTGAATAATTAAGTAACAAAGGATGCAAAGTAGTTAATTAACAACGCTCTACCACGATTTAAACTAACATTGAACATGTGTTTTGTAGACTTATTCCGAAACACATACAATGAAAAAAGTTTATGACATCACGACACTATAATACACAATAAGAAAGATTGAAAAACCTTTTAACCCGAGCAAATTCATGCAATGCACACGGTGTCAAGACGTCGGGCACACCAAAACCTATTGTAGATTTCAACATCGCTGTGTTCGAACTTGGATCTTGCGGAAAAATCAGAGATTTTAAAGCGACATGTGCAAACTGCGGAAGTGATCACCCTGCAAACTACATAAGGTTCAATGCCTTCAAAACTTACAAACAGCATGCACAAAGAACAGGGAACAATAGTACAACATCGAACCTACCCCAGATAGATGTCATCAATTTTTTGTCGCTTTCTTACAAGAAGAGCGAAGCCCTACCATCACCAACATGGGTAAATTCTCAGACAAGAACAACAGTCAACAGGTTGAAGAAGGTATGCCGCTGGTTTCCAACATTTCCTAATACAAATAAGTTGACTTATCTATCCTCTTTTTGATATGCTAGGGGTATTCTCTATCTTTATGTTAAACTTGTTAGGTCGTGTAAAATCGAGAAAAATGATGACGTAAACTGGTAAGAATCGGCTAAATCGGTAAGAATTGCCCTATGGTATGTCGAAAATGTAGTCACATTGTTAACATTTAGGGCGTTGGTAACCAACATGGCAGCCATGAATTTAACAGCTGTTTTCTGTTTACACGTATTTTTATTCTTAAATGAAATAAATATGCGTTAATTAAATCAGACCAATACATTTCTTTTGTTAATTTCTGATCTGTCATTATACTCTCATTCATAATAGATACATCCCCTATCTTATAAAGTTGTAGGCTGTTAGACGTTAGGATATAAATTAGGTATGTCGTCATGAATTAAACTTTGTCATTTGTTAGTACTTTTCGAGTGCATAGCATTTTGACTGAAAAGTTAATTAATTTTCCTTTTTTTAATAACTTCTGGCATCTTAAAATTTAACACAAAACAAAACAAAAACAAGCTTTCAAGAACTGTTATAGCTTCATTAAATTCACTAGTTTTGTGGTCGGCTTGACCAATTAATATCTTTCAATTAATTAAGGTTTTTAGTTGAGATAAAAAAATCATGTCACGAGTGGGATTCGAACCCAAAATATTCGGCTAGATACGCCGCTGCTCTACCACTTGATCTATCGTGACTTCGATCCACTCGGACACTAACTTCCCGTCTCAACCCCAACTTTTGAATTTTCCCACCTTTTTACCATTTTTCAAATGTCGTGTAATCTATTTGATTCTCGGCGACAATTATACGACGTTTGAAAAAAGGCAAAAAGTATGGGAAATTCTAAAGGTGGGGTTGAGGTGGGAAGTTAGTGTCCGAGTAGATCGAAGTCACGATAGTTCAAGTGGGAGAGCAGCGGCGTATCTGGACGAAGGTCGTGTGTTCGAATCCCGCATTACTTCATGTCTTTCTTAAACAAAGTAATTCTTATTTAACAAAATCTTGTAAATATGTTAAAGAAATAAACTAGCTTAGGCTACTCATATTTTTATTAATAACGAGGTAAGTGGACATAATGTAAGTGTAATTTAGGAAGTGAAGACAATAGATTCTTTAGATGAATAATGACTTTCAGATGAAGTGGTGTGAAACAGGTCACTTTGAAGGGAGTAATCGCCAGATTCGATCCTGACTGGACGGTTCGGAAGCCTCCTGCTGGAACCAGACGTCAGCTGGTACTCCGCCACCCAGGGTTTCTCGTCTTCGGCCGAAAATACAGTATCCGTATCGGAAATGCAAGAACTTATTATAGACATCGACCTCGAAGACGGGACTTCATCGTTGTACGAGCCGAAGAAGATTTGCGGTGGGTTGACCAAGACCTCGCGAATCGCTTCCAGGTAGAAGTTCATCCTGTCTTCGTCTTCGACCGGAGCCGACCTTTCGATATCTTCAACGATCTCTTCCAGCCTTTCCAATATGGCTTTGGCCTACAAATCTAGTTTTAGACAAAAGAAACAATGTTGGTTTTTTTTAAACTGAATTTTACGGACTTCCGACCAGTTTTGGATCCAGGCTTTTCTAAGCTTCTTAGAGTCGAAATCAAACCTGTTGTCCAATCTTGTCGCAGCCTGTAGTTTTTCATGAACGCTTATATATATTTTGCCTGAAAAATTTTTGATACACTGAAAACCATGTTTTACGTGAACAATTAATATATACAGTGCCTACGCCAATCATAATCTAGCAAACTCAGTTGAAGAACTGCAGCAAAGGATACAAAATTTTTTACATTCATCTCCCTGATTCTAATGCTCTGAGCACTGGTGAAAAGTGGTTAAAAAGAGCGAATATTTGCATCTTTACGCAAGACAGGCAGTTCGAACATGAAATGTGATTAATAAATAGCAAACGTAATGTCTATTTTGTCCAAACTTTTTCCCATTACTTTGTCATTTTTTGCTCAAATAAAATCCGATTGGGTCATTCCTTTCAGCGTACAAAATCCATTAAAATGATATGTCAGGATATAAGGTCGTATTTGACATTTTAAAATTGAACTGGACCCGATAATTTTTCCCAACCCTGTATAATTTTTCTCAAAAAATGGAAAAAATTTGAAGTAGATTAAAAAATATTAAAGACTTAGCGCCTTTTGGTCAAGAGAAATTCAACCGGTCCATCTAAAAAGGACACTGTATATGTGATATTTTTGTGCCAAAAACGTAGATATAACTACCGCTTAAAATAATCACAATTTTTTAAACATCAAAAACTTTTGAGTTTTTTAGTCTAACAAAAATGTTTAATACAACTAAATTGAAAAAAATGCTGAAAAACATTTTATAATTTAGAATTGATTTAATTGTATGATTTATAATTCAATTAATTAAGATTTTTAGTTGAGATAAAAAAATCAGTGTCATGAGCGGGATTCGAACCCACGACCTTCGGCTTGATACGCCGCTGCGCTACCACTTGAGCTATCGTGACTTCGATCCGCTCGGACACTAACTTCCCATCTCAACCCCACCTTTTGAATTTTCCCTCCTTTTTGTCATTTTTCAATGATTTATTTCTCTTGTGTTAACAATGTTCTCTGCGCTTAGAATTCTTTGAATATAAATATTGCTTTTTAAAATAATTCAAATTCCTGTGAAGGAATTTCTCAATAAACTTCCTAATTGGTTTATTTGGCTGTATGTGGAAGCGAGCACTTATCTACCATAGGACAATGCAAAGGCTTACGTAAAGTTGAAACAAGTGTTTCCATTTCCTTTTTGGGAAGCTGTAGCATTTCAACCCTGACTTCGAATTTGAGTATCGCGAGTTTGATTTTTGTCGATTCCACATCTATTTCTTTCCTCAGCCTTCCCAAGTCTGACATAGACTGCCTCAAACAGAATCTCATCATTGTTGATATTGATTTATGAGAGAGAAAAACTAGAACCAGAAAACTAGAAATACTTGAAATTGTTGTGTTTAAAACACCTGATTGGATTTTTATCAACAAAAAAATTTTCTGATATATTTTATTATGCATTTTTTTAAGAAAAAACTATGTTGTTTTAAGGCAAGTCTTTCATATAATTCAGCAAAATCGGTCCGTTTTGGTGCTTAATCTTCAACTGAATAAACAGGTAATTGTTGGATTAGACCATTATTTGTCAGAATTCATCATAAGAACCATGTCAAAAAGAAGATATGAGACCATTTCAAGTACGCTTATGAATAATGAAAGAAAATGTGCGATCCCAATTTTTTTCTGAATTTTTCTATATGCCTAACCATTTTATTTTGATTTATAGAAAAACGTCCGGTATTTGACTCTTGCCCTTCCAGTTATGATAAAATTATTAATATATTAACTATTCCTGTATAAAATTATCCATATAGAGGTATTGAGAATAATGAATTGCAAGATGTTTCTACGGTTTTGGGATAAGACGACTATGGATCCAACCCTTGGACGTCTTGAGTACCGGGATTAGGGATGCCCGGCTGAATAATTCAACTCCGTCCGCCCCCAGCCGTGCATCTTATATGCCCCACGTTTCGTTTTTGAACATTACGTCCCTCAAACTTCACTTTCACTGTTATAATTTTTATATTATGTCCTTCCTGAATGCGCTGAGATTTTCAACGTGCCTTTCACCACTAAATCACATAACGCAGTATTACACTTGAAAACGAGGAGGGAGGAAACTGGTGCTTTAATTTGGCACGAGATAAAATAAAAAAAAGATTTTTGAAAAATATACCCGCTTTCAGCCAACCTTGACACACTATGCTTACATTTTTATGTGAATTACATTTACTTTTAATTTAATTGAGGACGTGGAAATATCCGAAGTCTGTAAAACAATTTACGAAATAATTAAAATGTACAAAAAACACCATTATGTAGTTTAACATTTCAACACCAATACCATGTTATTTTTAAAACCTCCAAGAAGAAAAAAGACTTTTAATAGTGTTCGGTTTTCAGGAGCCTACTTAAAAAGATGGTGTACGTACCCATTTCTGATAATCACAAGTCGTCTCCAGACATTGCTTTCCCGTATACTCGGTCGTCCTAAAAAGGACAATGAGGATCTTCAACGTCCGCACCTAGCCTTCCGGCCTTACAGGACGTTTTGATTCTCAAGATGAGAGCTGACGCACCTCCGCATACGACAGAAGGTGTTACTGCCGGAACGTTGGTGTAGAGGTACCCTCAGCAGGTCAGCCCCGAGAGCCCAAGACAACCTCGCTCTCCGGTTGCCCATTCCGAGTGATCGGTTCGGCATTAAGCTTCGAACCGAATGCCGCGGACAAAGGGCTACCTAAGCCGAAATCTCACTGGTCACCCGCGCGGTCCCTAGATAGAGAAGGCCACTCCCAGAGTAGTGGCGCTTCCCTAGCGTAAAAACTACCGGATCCGATCCGGCCGCGGTTTTGTTTAAAGTGGAATTGGTAACCACTCCTAGAGGAGACCGACTACGGTAAAAGCCTCCAATCGAGCTCAGCCTACAGCTACGTGCAAAGCATACTCGAACAGGAGCAACCGATTCACTACCCGTTCCAATCCGCCTCACGCATTCGAGGACTTTTCAGCGTAATCATAGCGTCCTCAACGCTTATACTCTGCCGTCCGATAGCCGTATCCCGTAAGGCCGGGTGTATTACGATGGTTATGCGCAAATTTCGTGCGAAGATCTCAGAAGACAGTCTCTTCTCTAAGACCCCGCCAGGGGCGACACCACGAATCACTACGAGTCCATTCCCATTGTAACAGGGCCTGAACCTTGGAGCATTTCTGTTATCCTGTAGTCCAGAAGGTTATGCACCCTCCCCCGTCTATGCAGCCAGGATCTCGTACCCTAACCCTCTGATAAGGCACCCGCCGCCCCATGCCGACCCGAGATCGACACAAGTACAGCTTGTGCTTTAGAGAGGTTGCCACGCCCTCAGGGTTGCACCATTATTTTGAGCCCGGACGCACTCCTTGTTGACAAGAGTTGGGAGGGGTCACAGGTGACGACATTTTTGATAATTTCCCTTATGAAGCAAATGTTTTGCTGGACTATATATTGCATCTTGAAACCTTCGCAGTCCTGATTTTTATTTTAACTTTAAAACTTAATTTTTCGTAAGTTCAGAAAACCCGCTTGTGGATTAACCAAAATCACAACCTCTGAGGTTATCAACTAAAACGTTACCTGGTTCTCATAAAGCCAATGAAAAAAAAAATACGGACTTTCAAACATCCCTTCTAAGGAGAATATCAGCGGTGGCCGTTTTTTCACAAATCTTTTATCAAGCGACTCCATCCAATTCTCTTTTGCAAATATTTAATGTTGACTAAATCGTTAATTTACAGTCAGATCTTCCTTAAAACAAATAACAACAATATAAGAAAAGTTAATTTCGAGGAATAGCCGTTGAAGGATGTTGCATGCCTGTCAATGTGACCAGGATCGTCATTACTGCCCAAATACTGTAGTGCGTCGGCATTACTGGAACATGTAGTACTGCTGCCCAGGAATTCCTTCTGAACTTAACAACACTACATATCCTCTTCCAGAAATAGTTTAGGGCCAATTCACAGTCTAATGAAATGGACATTTTAAAAGCCTACGCCTGTATAAAAAGGAGCATTTAAAGCTTCTGTAACATCAGGGGGACAAGTTCCTGGGGATGATCCCAAATGAATTCAGATCCTGGGGATGATCCCAAAAAATTCACATCCTGGGGATGATTCAAAATAAATTCAGATCCTGGGGATGATCCCAAAAGAATTCAGATCCTGGAGATGATCCCAAAAGAATTCAGATCCTGGGGATGATCCCAAAAGAATTCAGATCTGATAAGGACCCGATAGACCAGACTGGGAGAAAAAGATCTTATTTAATGCGACTATGATATACAGGGTGCTCTGGTGACTGGATGGGGGTCAGGACGTGGTAACGATGGAACTAGAATCTTAGCATGCCTTCAGCCTTTCTTTCAATGACATTCTGGCAAAATTTTTAGCTATTGAACTCTGTATCAGGAAGATCAAAAGACTGACTATTACCAAAACAAATATACCCATTGTCTAGTAGTCTGATGTCACTATGAGGCAACTGTCTCATGGGTTTTTGAATAAAGTCCCTGTCAGACCATGTGGGAAAAAACAAATTATTTCTATTTGCAAACCAGTGCGTACAGGGCAAACAAGACACGAGAAAGAAGATAAATTGGCCAAGGAAAAATTAAACAAGAAACATATCGACTAAAACATATAACATATATAGTATATAGATTGGAGAGTTTTGGAAAAGAGCGCCAGCCTGAAAGAGGGCGCCACAAAAAGATCAAGAGTTTTCGCGGAAAAAACCTCTCGGATGAAAAAAAGGATTTTTCGCTCTCTTCTCTCTTGGATCGATCACGTGAATACGGACATTTGATTTCTAGTCTCTCCTAATTTTAAACATTAATATTTCATATCTCAGTTGAGTGTAGATTGTGAGTATTATAATTTTTATTGTATGTTAATTAATGTTTTCTATTTTTTTTAATTAGAGGATTAACTTTTATTTAAATTTTCTTTTTTCTTTTCTTGTTTAAACCTTTTTTTCTGAGGAGATCCACATAGTTACCATAAGCATATATCTTTGAATAAATAGAAATGTATTCCAAAACAGAGAAATGTAAAAATACCATCGCAAAAGATAATGGCATAACTGCGAAACCTTGGACTTCGTTGGACTAGGGGGAAAGTAGGATTATTGAGTAGTCACTACAGATTCAGGAGGCATATGTATAAACGCGGAGAGAAAAAAATGAGCTGCGCTCGAGAAGATGAAAAAGCCAAAACCTGCAGGATATACGCGGAAGCCTTTAACAAAGCTTTGGGATCTGGTAAAAAAAGCTAAGGCTTAACAAAAACCTCTAGACAATATTGGATAAATGATTTCCTCTTTCTTTCATTGAGTTATTTAGTCACTATTAAATTGGCACACTGTATATTAAATTTTAAATAACAGGTTTTTAGCTTATTATGAAAACCTTATAGGAAATTACTGTTTTACCGGAAAGAATTTTCCACTGATCCTCTTTTTCAAAATTGCTTCGAATTCATCCGGTGGATCCAGGCCGGCTGACTGGAATATTGACACCTAAACGTGTCTGGTGGTGGGGAGAGGACACAAGCCTCGCTGCATTTGCATTTCCGGCTCCTATCTCCCAGCGGAGCAACACAACACAGATATATACGTACACCCAACCAGAGCGATTCTCATGAATATGAAAATTTCCGGTTTACTAACCCCCTCGCGCTCGGCTTCGGCTCAATCCTCAGACAACATTGCGGACACGCCCTCCGATTTGCCCATGTAAAACATATAACGAGGGAGACATGTTTGTATTACAAATTTAAAAATGAAAACACTTCATTATTATAAAAAGGATGTAGAACATAATAGGTAATGCGAAAAAAAACCATAATAACAATAGCAATATAATGTCAGAATTGCACCAGTAAGAGCTAGCAAATTTGGCCAGATAAACTCACATATACAGATCACTTCTTAATACACTCGCATGTCTTCACTGTTACAGTTTATTAGGTATAATAATTATCTAAAAAAATTATATTAAAAATCAAGGATAACTCAAGGTTGAAAAAAAACACTCTTCAAGTGTATACTAGGCTCTGGCTGTTATGCCATTTCTATCTCTTAACGTAAAGGCCATTTAGAAGCAAAGTTAGCTTTAGAAGAGGTCAAAATACTTTTTGAAAAATTGCGAATCATGTTTATATCAATGAACGCCTCATTGTTCTTTTTAGAACCGTCTTGTCTGTTATAAATTTTATCTGTCCAAAACTACCATTTTAAACTAAAACATAATGAATCAATTTCATACAGAAATTTTTTTGCAACGTTTTTATGAAGTAATTTTTTTCTCAAAAGGGGAAAATGCAAGCTCCTTTCGGTCGTACACCTTTCTCAAAATTCCTCCATCATACAAAAACGTTCCTTATTT